AAAAAAAGACAGAAAACACCCTTTTCCCCCCCCTTTTTTTTTTTTTTTTTTTTTTTTTTTTCTCTTCTCCCTATTATTATTTTCTTTTCTCTGTCTGCCCAATAAATCCTTTCACTATTTTTTTTCTCTTTATGATTATGAAGATTTTTTTATGTAGAATTTCGTTTAATGTGTGGGTTTATCATTATTTAAATTATAATTTATAGTTTGTTATAATATTTTTTTCACAAAAAATGCACATAAATTAAAAATAATTATAAATCATGATTCTGAATTCATAAACTAAACGTCTTTATATTTTACGTGATTTATTTAAAAAAATTAGTTCTTGTTTTAATTTTCTATTTATATCATTATAAAAGGTGATCAAATTTATACAAATATTATTCTTAGTATTTATAGAAGCATTTTTTTTGTTTTTAATACATGTATAGAAAACAAATTTGGTTTATATATTTTGGTTTTTATGTATAGATGTACAAGAACAATTTCATATAAACAAATTGTTCGTAAAGCAGGCATAACATTTAGTCAAACATTTGGGACAAGTTGTTTTTTTATGAAATATTTGGGACAAGTTGGACAAATTAGGTACCATTAAATCCCCAAAAGAAAAAAAAATGGGACCATTAAAATGGAGGAAAAGGGAACTGGTCTCTTTTTATTTTTTTAGATAAAATTATTTTGATACCCTGTATTATAACTAACATACTCTTGATATCTCGTATTTTTAATAATATTAAAGTGCTACCTTGACGTTTTTAAAAACATCTTCTTAATACTCTCAAGCTGATTTTTAAGATGTAAAATGACATTTATACCATTTTATTTAATTAATTAAAATATAATATATCTAAAAAAATCATGAACTTTTTTGTTTTATTATTTTCTTTTAAATATTTTAATGTCTTAAAATATTTTCATATTTTTTAAGAAATACTTATTTTTAATTGTTAAGAATAGTAATTTTGACATTACGAGTCTCAAAAATGAACTTCAGTGTATCGAGAAAATATTTTTAAAAACGTTAATGTAGTATTTTAATATTATTAAAAATATATGATATAAAAAATATAAGGTACTAAAATTATTTTATTTTATTTTATTTTATTGAGTAGAGGGAACTGGTCTCCTTGAAGGGGAAAAAACGCAAAAAAAAAAAAAAAAGGAAATTAGGTGGAATAGAGGAATATACTTTTTTTATTTTTTTATTTTTATTTTTTTGAAGGAATACCACTTAGAAATTTTATTCAAATATACCTCTTATAAAAAAAAAATTTTAATCTAAGATAAAACGGGTAATAACTGGATTTTGTAATATACATAGTTTACCCGAAATTTGGATAATGCTCTCCAAAAAAAAAAAGAAAAAGGGAAAGAAAGAAAGAAAGAGAGAGAGAGAAGATTAGGTAATGTATCTCCTCTAACTCACCTCGTTGGTTCTCTGCCATTCTGATAAAATTCTATCAATTACTTTAGGTGATTTTTTAATTTTTGGTCCATTACTCTTCACCGCGTTTGGTAAGCCACTTCATTTTCAGGGCTTTGCAGGAAAAAAAAAAAAAAAAAAACTCTATCTGGAACATCTTATAAAGAAAGTACTACTGTTACAACACTAAATTTAGGCTCGTTTAGTTTATTGATTTGAATTTTTAATTTGAGTTGAAATGTGATTTTATGTGAGAGTTTTTTACTGTAGTAAAAAAGTTAAATGTGACTGTTTATGAGAGCTTTTTACTGTAATAAAACTCAAATTCTAAATTAGAATCGGTGAAATGAACGGCTTATAAATTTTCTTACTAATCTACACAAGCCACCAAAAGATTCACCCTTTGGTTGAATCGTTTTGCAAATGGATACATTGTCGTTTGCTCATGCTAGATCTCATATTGAAATGACTCAAGATGTGGAATCTTTCAAATGCTACAAGCACTATTAAACAGAATTATTTTGCTATAAAATTCTTCATGTGCGTTACAAAAAAGAAAACGCAGCATTATTTTGTTCAACAATTTTGCAAAATAGCTGCAGCTTCAGCACTCAACTGAGAACTCCTACTTCGCGATTTGTCTTTCCACAACTCTAGTTGGAGATTCATCTGGTCCATCAATGGCTGGTTTTATAACAGCATAGAAGAAGACATTGTAGAAAATAGTGAGAAGAAAAAGAGCACCAGCTGTGTAAGCCAGAAAAGACCCCGAGAAATCTTGTGCTTCTTCCGTCGTTTGATCTCTTGTAGTCGTAAGATTCACATCGGTAGCTGCCAACATATTTAGAAACAATGCACATTAGATTAAGACCTCATTCATTTTGCCGATTCGAGTTTTCAGTTTTAAGTTTTTACAGTAAAAATTTTTCAAAAATTATCACATCTAACTTTTTCTGCTACAGTGAAAAACTCTCAGAAAATATCGCATCTCAGCTCGAATTGAAAACTCGAATCCGCGAAGTAAACGAGGCTTAAATAACCTTCCACAATTCTAGTTGCAGAGAAAATCTATACATGTTCAGGTTTAGAGTTAAAATCCCCCGCTAAAAAAGAACCCAAAAAAAAAAAATCCACAGGATTCACAGTTCATTGAATCAATGGCCATCTCATATATAAGAGCTTCATGTTACAAATGCTATTTTGTAGTGAACCCTTCATTATTAAGTAAACATTTCAAAGACAATGTTTCAGTAAGCAGTGAAAGTAACTGCCGACGAATTATATGGTTCTAAATCCCAAGCACTTGCGAGATTGAGAAAAAAGCTATAAAAAAAAAAAGTCCGATTGAGGCTTCGTTTACCAAGTACTAGTGAATATGATTCTTATTTGTGTAACTATATGTATTGAAATTATGCTACTAAACTATACACCAATAAAACTTAGATAATTGATCCTTCAAATCGGGCTATATAGAGAAATCAAGCTCAGAGTCAGGCTGCGCAATATCAATTCTTTAATTTAGGCCATTTAAAAGTGCCTAAAGCTTAAAGCTTTAGGGCACAAACTTACGCTTTGAACTCAAATCAACATAAAAGCAGGAGCAAAGCAGCAAAAATTTAGGGGTTGTAGACAAAATATCAAAGTCTCGTTCATTTTACCGATTCGAGTTTAAAATTTGAGTTTTGTTACAGTAAAAAGCTCTCAGAAACAGTCACATCTAATTTTTTTATTACAGTAAAAAATTCTCTTATAAAGTCAATCTCAACTCGAATCAGTGAATTAAACGGGCCCGAAAAGTATTCATATAGTCGAAACAGTACTAGTTGAGAGAGGAAAAAGAGAAAAAAGAAAAAAAAGTTGTAGGCTTAAGACTAAGAAATAACACATTTTTCCAAACCTTGTAGGCTTAAGACTAAGAAAAACACTATGTAAGAACCAATTGAATGAATATAAGTCCCACACGCTCCTCAACAAAAAAAGAAAAAGAAAAGTTGCATAATTGGAATAATACAATTGAGAGAGGAAAAAAAGAAAAAAAGAAAAAAAGAAAAAAAGAAAAAAAGAAAAAAAGCAGAGATGTACCCTTTATCTTAGGAGAACGGACTTGTTTTTGGGAGAGAGATTGGAGCTGCTGGTCAAGCTGTTTGAGGGCTTCTCTGGCCTTATCTTGGTCTACTTCAAACTGCTGCGACTCTTTCTCTACTGAAGAACAAACAAACCGACAACCTAAAGAAGATGAAGAAGAAGAAGAAGAAGAAGATAAAAAGGAGTATTTATAATAAGCTTTTGTAAGAACATCATCCTTAACATGTTTACTACTACGTTCCAGAGAAAAAGAAACTGGCTTTAGCGATAAGCTCTGCACAGAAGAAGAAAGCATTTGATTCTTTTTGAATGGGACCAAAGTGAATTCTGAAAACTCACAGCCACACAACAACAGCCAAAGACTCGCAACCAGTTTTTCATTAGCAGAAGGGGTGTTTAGCAACGGACATATCGGGACCCACTTAAATATTACGTGTCACGTTTTAATTGGGGAGTAGTCACAAAATGTTTTTTTTTTCTTTTTTCCTTAATTTTTTATGGCTTTTCTGCTCTTTTAATCGAGCAAAAAGGTGGAAAGATGGCCTCTGAAAAATAGGAAGAGAAAAAAAAAAGAATCTCTTTGATTTAAGGAGTTTTTCGACTCAGAATCGGAGGAGAGAGAGAATCTGAGAGAAAGAAGAGAGAGAGAGAGAGATATGAAGAAATCCGGAGGTGCAGAGAAGGAGAAGGAGCAAGGGTCGTCCGGAGCTGTTCAAAACGGTGGCAGAGATCCCAATTCCGATACTCCTCCTTGGGTTTGTTTCTCTCTCTTCTGATCTAGCGTTTCGCATAATTAGAGGAGGCAATTCAATCACATATGAACACCATTGATACGAAAATACTCAATTTTCGTCTGTGTATCTATTCATAATTGTTTGTGCGATTCTATAAATGCCGAAAGTAAAACGTGAAATTTGTCCCTTTTTGTTGCATTTTCAGAAAATCTTATCAGCTGAACTTGATAGTTTCTGTAAATGACACACTACGCTGAAGTACTAATCACAATCCTTCATTCTATTTCAAAACTCATTTTTCTCATGTTCTTTAACAATTCGTTGTCAAATCAATCACATGTGCAGATAAAAAAAAAATGGCATCACGATGTTCTTCTTACACTCCTGAAGAAGACTTGCTCCTTTGTGGTGTATATCTAGATATTTCTCAAAGACCCTGTCACCGGTAAAAACCAGTCAAGAGATCAATTTTGGTCTCGAGTTGAGCAAGCTTATAACAATGCGAAACAACAACATTGGGATGATCGAAACAAAAGATCCTTGCAGTGTCGATTTGGGAGTATGATTATTGAAGTACGCAAATTGAAGGCTTTCGTTCGAAAAATAGAAAATATGAACCCGAGTGGTGCTTCGGATCAAGATATTGTGAGTATTTATTAGAGAATTCAATTTTTGCCAGTTTGAATTTTAACCTTATGTTCATAAAAAATTGCAGTTAAATCAAGCCAAAGCATTGTTCAGACAAGACATCAAGTATAAAAAAGGCTTCAGATTTGATCATATTTGGCATATTGTTAAGGATAGCGAAAAGTTTACAGATAACGTCAACGCCGGAAGACGAGCTTTTCAAAGGCCAAGTGCTAACTCTGCATCACCACAGTCAAAGAATCCGACTCCAGAGTCTCCCACATCGGCATATCTTATGTTGTCCACATTTTCTCTCAACATAGATGATGAGGATATTGGTGGTAGTTCACCTCAACGGACCGCTAGGGTGAAGAAATCGGAATTGAAAAGAAAAAATGATGAAGAAATTTTAGCTGTCATTAACACCATCAGAGAACAAAATAGACTGCTTGTGGAGATGTTAAAACAAAGTACATCGTTTAGGCAAAAAAAACTTCAATATGAGACCAAAAAAAAAAAAAAAACTGGCATTGATGGAACTTCGAGAAGAGAACAGTATTTTACTGCAAGATTTGTATGTTGTACACATCCCGAATGTGCGTGAGTTTCTTTGAACCGGAACAAGTAAGAATTATGCAAAAAAACGCGTTTAGAATTCGTTTTAAATTTTTTTTTTTTTTATATAAATGAAAATAAAAATATTTTTAATCTCACATATAAATTATTTTTAAAAATTCGTTTGATAGTTTTATTAATAGATTGTTTTCAATGTAGAAAAATTTATTAATGTCTTTCTTTTTCTCTCTATTCGAGAGAGGAGAAAATGAAAACAAAAATAAAAAAAGACTAAACTAAAAAGTCATTTTCATTTTTATTTTTTGTCTTTATTGTGCTAAACGCCGTTTTAGAAACGTTTTCATTTTTTATTTCTCAAAAATAAATAAATAAATAAATAAAAGATCAATTTTAAAAATGGCCCAAGAATCGTCTTCTACGTCTAGTGCTTTTGGCTAATATTTCAATGTTAATTGGTGGATCCGGAACTAATCTATCAAATTACTAAATTATCGTTGTAGTTTATGTTATATTTTGCCATAATGTTAGTGTTGTCTTATTAGTGTTAGTTTATTTTAATAGTTTGTAAAACTAGTGCACGTTGTATGTTTATTTTTATATTAGTGTAAGTTTCTTCTAATTAGTGTAATATTATGTAAATTTTGTTAGTATTTTTTTCAACTTTTGAATTTTTAGAATTATATACTTCATTTTATTATTATTTACATAGTAAATTTTGTTCATTTTAACTAAATATCTAAATCAACTAAAATCATAAAAAACTTGCAATACAAAAGGAAGAATTTTTTTTGGTAGCAAAAAGGAATAAATTTTGCTTAAAACTATGAACTTGGAGTAAAAAATAAGAATAAAATAATATGCCATTTACTACAATTTTTGAAAAAAAAAATCTAAATAAAGAGAAAAATAAAATAGAATGTGTATTATGTTCCAAAGAAAAAGAAACTGGCTTTAGTGATAAGCTTTGCATAGGAGAAAGCATTTGATTTTGAAGGGGACCAAAGTGAATTATGAAAACTCAATACTAGAGGTGAAAGTTTTGGCCGTTCAGGCCGGACCAGAGAAGAGGGTCAGTCTAACCGGGTCCATTTTGAAATTTTATAAGATATTTTCAAAAATTTTTAAAGATTTTTAAAAAAGAGGGGTTTAGGTTTGTTTGGTCCCACCTAATAAGCTCTCGAACTCCAAACCTCAATCTGGTCTATCCTGAAAGTTAGGGCCGAAACAACAGCAACGGACTTAGTTCTGACTTATTTAGTTCAGTCCACACTTACAACTCTACACAACACCACTACAAGACCCACCGATAAAAAGGACCATGGGAGGGGGTGTTTGGCAAAGGGTACATCCGGACGTGTCAAGCTGTAATTGGTGAGAAGTGACAAAGCCGTTGCCACGCCATTTGAACTTACCGAAAATGTATTTCTTTTTTATTTTCTTGCCCCTATGATAAATCATAAATATGAAAAATATTTTCGTTAATTTTATTAATTTAAATTTAAAATTTTAGTTTTATTATAATAAAAAATTTTCATATAAAATCATGTATAAACTCAAATTAAATATTTTAATAGTGAACTAAAAGACTACTTTTTTTTTTTCCTTTTAATCTAAGCAATATAATATAATAGTTTATAAATTATAAGCTTGAGTAAAAAGGTAGAAAAAGGCCCATCGAAGGGCGAATGGGATGGGACTGGGGAAAAAAAAATATCTGTTTGATTTAAGGGATTTTTTGCGACACAGAATCGGAGAAGAGAGAGAATCTGAGAGACACAAGAGAGAGATATGAAGAAATCTGGCGGTGCAGAGAAGAAGAGGGTGCGAAGATCGTCCGGAGCTGTTCAGAACGGTGGTAGAGATCCCAATTCCGACACTCCTCCTAGGGTTTGTTTCTCTCTCTCTTCTGATCTAGGGTTTCGCATAATAAGAGGAGGCAATTCAACTACGAACGCCATTGATACGAAATTACTTTATATTTGTCTGTGTATCTGTCCATGTACGTAATTAATTGTTCTTGTGCGATTCAATAAATGCCGAAAGTAAAAACACGAAATTTGTCCCTTGTTTATTTGCATTTTCTCGTTAATTATTGCTGAACAAATTCGTGTTTTTGTACGTTTGATTTGATTCAGAAACAAGGTGCGAAGAAGGATGTGTTTCAGGTGTTTGCGGAGAAGGTGAGAGACCACAAGGGCTTGGAATCGAGATGGGCTGTGTTACAGGAGACACGTGTTGAGTATTTTCGAGGGAAGGATTTCGTAGGATTTTTGAGGAATCATCCGGAGCTCAAAGATGTTCTCGAATCGGAGAGGAATTTAGACTCCGAAGACATTGCCAATGCTTTGTTGAAAAAGAATCTTCTAGTGCGCTGTGATCGAGTCGTAAAAACTGTTCGTCCTGGGAAGAAGAAACTTTCTACGTGGCCTGCCCACTTGGAGATCTTCTCTGTAAGTAAAAAAAAAAAAAAAAAAAAAAAAAAACAATTTTTTTCTCCGGGCCCGCCCCCCTGGGGGACTTTTTTTTAAAAAAAAAAAAAAAAAAAAAAAAAAAAAAATCAAAAAAATCCAATATTGATTGCCTCATTATGTGTTTCTGGCTCTGTATGTTTCAAGAATAGTTGTGAAATTTGTTTCTTTTATTCTGTTTGCTGTATTATTCCATATTCCACGTCCTTTAGTTTCTCTTAGAACGCCAAGAGTTTTGTGGGTTTTATGTGAAAATCAAAGGAGGGTATTCTGTATCTATGCGCAAAACTATACATTTGTGTTCCTTTATACAATGCCATTCTGAACAGTATGGAATGTATTAAAAACTACAGTCGATACGATATACGGTCATGGTTTTAGGGGCATTGATCCTTCTTTCTTTTTTTTTTCTTTTCATTATTTTTCAGAAAGTAATTTAAAGCATTTTTTTTTTTTTTTTTCTGAACGTTGCAGCAAAGTTATGGGTATTATGATGATCTATTGCAGGACCAATTATTTTCTGAAAATGATGCCTTCTTTGCGTGGACATTTGTTAAACGACGACCTCTCTGGCAGACGCTTCTATCGTTTTTTTGGCCTGTGCTCACTCTGGCAATCTGCTTGTTTCCCGTCTACCCCCATACATGCAAGCTCATAATACTATACTCGTGTGCAGGGCTCCTCTTGCTTTTCTTGTCACTGCTCTTATGTAAGTTCTCTTATGGTCAATTATTCCATGTTATATTTTAGCCCATGTGTATGGACAATGGTATTTACTTGTTCAAGCGTTCTTGGCTGTTGAAGGTTCTTTTACCTTGATTGTGCTTTATCTCAAACAGCAAAATGCATGGTGATCCTGTTATCTCTTCTTATATGTAGTATTTCAATTTGTTCCTTGAATTGTTTGTTCAATGTGGTGTTTGCTATTTAATGTAATATTTTTGCATTTTAGAGGTGTATTTGAGATATCATCTTAATTTGCAGTAAGGGCTACAATGTTTGGTCTCTTGTATATCGTTATTGGAAAGCGTGTTTGGTTCTTCCCCAACATTCTTGCTGAGGAAGCAACATTACGAGAGTTATTCCGTTTCTGTCCTAAGAAAGATGAGGAGGACCGGCCAAAGTGGACAACAAGGCTTTTCTATGCTATAGTGGCGGTAGTGATCATATTGTTGCTGAGACACCATGCCCCTGATGAGGCTGCTAGAGCCAGGTCAGTTTTAAACCTGCTTTTGTTGACCAAATTTTAGCTCTATACAAGCCACACTTGCAAGTCTCATTAAGACTCGTGTAATAAACTCGGTTTCAGAAAACTAGCTATTTGGAATTTGGATCTATCTTATAAAAGTATCGTTGCTGCTTGCTTATAACCTGCTCTTTACTCGTTATCCTTTTGCCTTATCATAATCTTGTGTTTTGTTCTCATATTGCAGGTATCAAAAACGGGTGTCAAACATAATTGATGATGTCCTTGAGTGGTCCCCAACATTGGCTCTGTCTGGGATGATGGAGAAGCAGCAACCCGTGGTTAATGCCACAGACTCTGATAGTAATTTTGCAGGTAGGAGCAAAACAGATCCTAAGGGGGAGGCTCCGTCTGATGAAACGGGTGCGGGCTTTGCTTCAGAGCAGCACGAAGCAGAAGTCAATGAAAACAACGAGGAAACTGATCAACATGAACGTCACGCTCACATATAATTATAGACCGTTCACCCTTACGGGACCATAGAAGCACATTTCTTGCCTTCAATATGAGTGTAAACCATGTAGTAGACGATCATGATAAAACCAGATGGTTACAAATCCGTCTTTCTTTGATTTTATTCACAACACAGATCTATGGATTTTTCCCCGTAAGGATTTATGTATTAAGAACGATTTCAGAGTTTCTATACTGAGGTTTTATATAGATTTGTCATCTGGTAATATTGACCTTCCTATCGACTACTGTATGTATGTATATTGTTCCATGTTTTAAGGTAAGAGTCCTCGGAGTTGCTTAAAGGTGCACTTGTAACAGTAACAACAATCACAGTGCGCCGTGTTATTTGGATTTGACCCAAAAAAATGGTGCATAGACATGAACCTTGGAAGGTGATATGATAATTATGTCGTCAATAGGAGTCTCGATACAAACATATATAAAACATACAATGCCACTCCGATAGTTTACACATAAACTCAATAGAAATACCGTCCGTTTAAACCTGAAGACATTTCACAGTCCCAATGATGATCAGAACCTGCGTCAAGCAGCCCCTCCATAATAATAGCAAACGAAAAATGTAACATCCATTCATTCAATATCTCATCTGTTGCACAATCAGAAAGAAAACTCAAAGATAGACGAGAGGATGAAAAAAAGAAGGCAAAAGATCAAGCAGGTTTGTACAATAAAACTAGAGAAATATTTGTTTAAATCTGCCCCCAGAGACTCTTCATTTCTACTTGAGTTTACTGGATACTATCTCTGTACAGAAGAACAAAAAGAGAACGTAGTGAAGCACCGAGAATCACCCAGGCCATTTGTCGTCTCCTCTACGTCCCTCCCATCCATACCACAACCACAACCACAACAAAAGCCAAGAATGATTTGCCGCCTGGCAAATAAATTGCCAAGTGTTAGACCCCACCATTTCAAACGGGGGTAGAATCTCCAAGCACCCCACCCCGTGCCAAGGAGTTTACTGTATTGCAAGACGCCTGTGGGAAGCTTGATTCGCCGACAGGCTTCCTCGTTGCTGGCCTGAACAGTCTCCTTCCTCGGCTCTCTCACTTGGGCGCAAGTGATACTTCGAGTCCTGCATGCCACCATGATTCTGGTAGCAACTGTTCCCATTTACGTAATTGTGCGCTGTGTAAGTACCGTGTACTTGGGACCCTCTTGCTTCGTGCTGACCATTAGAAGAATTCCAGGTTTCATTTGAGTCCGAAGCCAACGGTTCAGATCCTGATGAACATGCAGACATTGATGAGTGTGCCCGACCAGAACCTGAGCCCTTTTCTTTTTCAGCGTCATTTGAAGCATCACCATCAGTTTTCTTTGCAAAACGCCCTCCACTACCCCTGGCCCTTCGCATAGCATGCTGGTGCCGAGATTCATGAAGATATGGCTGCAGAAATTTCCAAAAACAAACCGACTGGTTATAGAAGGAATTCAGCTCAGTTACAGCAGTGATGGCTTTAGTTGATAAGAGTACTCATTGTTCAGATAATTACGTATCTCATTCAATTAGAATTTTAACATACAGATTATCACTAATCACAGTACAAAAAACAAATCTTTAACCGCTATCTTGGACTATATCACCATCACAAAATATTAGTTATTGAAGACAACACCAAACATGTAACTACATGCTACAAAAGTTGTTTGCCAATATCATTAACCAAGACCGTCTACCATTGTCTTATATGCCCTGCATGCATCCCATGAGTACAAAGTGTTATTCATCAATCATCATCTTCCATCTACACAATACCTGCTGACTTTTACATAGAAAAAACAAGGTCCTGACTTCATGTAATGAAATGACACCTTGTGCTGATGCTCATGTGTGTGCATATAATCGCATGCAATACACTGATCGATTGCACTCAAAGACTCAGTATATGAAAATCCAAAAACTTAAGAGATTAAAGAAAGAATACTCTGGAACAGATATGAGTCAAGTAGTCATGTCTACCTTTCTAACTTTTATCAGCTTCTTTTCCAGCTCTGCTTTGGCTCGGGCCTGTCTTCGCCTTAGGATCCCTTGGTATTGTTTGGCATTCACATATACAGGCTCCTGAGCCATCTCAAGAGGCAAAGGCATTCTAGCTTGCGGCATTCCAAAAAAAGGAGGATAGCCCTGATAGTTACACATATAATTAGACAGGAATTCACAAAATAGCATGCCTATATATTATTGGATATTAAACCATCATGGACGCAAGTACAAAACCACACCGGTATTTGAGTGAAGAGCAACATAAATATTCAGAGTTATCACATCACATGAAATCATAAAGGAGCTAACTAAGAAAAAAGCACATCCTCTACAAACAATCGGTAGATGCTAAAATTGCAATCCATTTTAAAAGAAGACACAAGTCCAAGTTCACTACTTATAATTCACTCCTAAGGCAGCGGGAAAGGTATTAAAAACATAATTAAGGAAGAATATTTCCACACCACTTTGTGAGTCACCAAAAAGTTGACAGAACAAGCAAAAACAATTTACTTAACGATAAAATTTGCATAAAAAGAAAATAATTTACTGACCAAAGGCTGATGTCCATAAACTGTCATCATTCCTCCATAATATGGATCTTGATATGGATTTGATGCACACGCCTGCAAAATAAATGCAAGAAAACCCGGAATCCTTTTGTCACCATTTATAAAATCATTGAAGTGTGAAGGCTTTCCTTTCTTTCATACTACGCATCACTTATGACATTTATTCATTCAGCAATTAGAGCCGTCATCATTTTTTAAGATATTCTAAACAGAAAAAGGAAGGCACTTACAATAGAGTGACCAACAAGTTCAAGTTGTGGAGGCTGCGTGAGGTGCTCATCATGTAATGTTGGCATAGTAGATGAAACATGCTGCATAATTTGATCTTGCCCATAGTTGCCTAATGAGATTGAAATTAAATATATTATTTATATATTCAAAAGGGGCCACCAAAAGTTCAAGAGACTAGTTAAGTCGGGACCATCATTGTGATTTTTCTATTTGCTATATCAATAAACTTCCTATGTTGGTATTTCAAAAAAATCCATATTAACTTGGGAAAAAAAATGATATAATACCTGATCGTGGAGAGGCACTAACATATGAATCTTTAGTGGCATCATCATCTTCCTCGTTGGGCCCATCATCAGATAAAGACTGGTCCTCATTGGATTCAGAAGCACCATTTGGGCAGTCTAAGGAAGATGAATTGGATGCATTTCTCACTGTCAAGGGTGGAGAAATAGGATTATACCCGACATTACGCCACCATGGCTCAGAGTAAACATTGGTTGGGGTAATGGTATGAGAATCAAGTCCTAGACCATCTGTATTTTGAGACTTTGACCGCATAATGTCGATACCCTTTAAACGGTAACAAGCCCCTCCTTACCTTTACCTTTACTGTAACAAACACGAGAATCTAAATCAGCATCAAATTCAGAGTTAGAACTTCACATAATAAACACCACATTACACAAGCAAGCAGTTGCCGAGGATATTTTAAACAATGAACTGGAATAACATTTGACCACGGAAGCCCAAGTATAAGAGTTGCATTTCAGAAACTGAAATATCTAGAGTCAGATAAAGTAGAAACGTATACAAAAACTTGAAAAATACTCCTTTGGGTCCCATTTTCCCTATGAGATTGTCTAGGAATATTTCTCCCTCCTGATTTTCTTTTTCCTCCCCAAACTGAAAGCAATTTGGTTATTTTAACAAAATTTTCCCTTCCAGGAATTTGGAGCTATAAATTAGATACTTTGCCCCCACCAAGGTCAAGTTAGACTAAACATTACCTCTAAAAGCCAACCAACTTCAATGAATAGATAGATATAGTAGCCATAACCTAGATCGACTATCTTAAAATATAACTGGTTAAAATTATTCCCATTCCCATAATGCTCTACCGAGTCAATGATTTTTGTTCCCAATATGCAAATAAAATTTTTTTTAAAACATTAAGAATTCAGTTGATCCTCTACCTACAATTAAGTGAATTACTTTCTATCCAGTAAAAGAAAATTTTATTTGCATTATAGACCCCCATGTTGTCTTGGCAACCAGAGAAAGCACACATGTGGCAAGCAAATTGAACCTAAAACTCACTACCAAACCTATAAAAAAAAAACCTTTCAAGTTTAACATCCGAAACAGTACCAACTTCAAGCTTTGCGCTTTTTAGTTCCTGAAGATCAAACCAAACTTCAGTACTCGCGAACCCAGTATCATCTTTCTCGCGTTTTCTAGGAAACCAAACACAGCATAAGCAAAATTCTTCGTCACAAATGTTCAATTCCCACGAAACTCAACCACACAACCCAAAAACAAAAGCTTTATCTCCTAATAATCCCATGCGACAGCGAAAACAAAGATAATCCAACATAAGAAACCAAAACAACCAGCGAAATTCCAGAAAAGGAAAGCAAAAAAAAACCCCCCGATTCTCGAATTTCCAAAACCCTAGAAATAAAACTTAAAACAGCCAAAAATTCAATCTGTTCATAAAAATTGGGAAAACTAAAATCCAAAAAAGCAAAAAAATAAATAAATAAATAAATAAATGAAGCAAAATCGGAGGGACTTACTTGGTGGGAAGACAAACAGCCAATGAGAAACAAAAGGCCTATATTTGGGGGCTCTCAGAATCTGAGAGAATTGGAAAAAGGGTCAATCAAATTTCTCGACAATTTCTATGTATTTTTTTCTTTTTTCTTTTTGCCTTTTCTCTTACTGGAAAAAGCTCTCTCTCTCTCTCTATAAATTCCACATTCAAGGATGATTGCGTCACCCACCTAGGGGCCCACCCACGTAATGCTTCCCGACACGTCGACGTTTCGGGATCGGCAACTTGCTTGTCCGGTTTCGCTTGGTGGGTCGGGGGTTCGGAGGTAGACAGGGGTGAGAGCCGGCTGTGACGGGTTTCCGGTTGATAAGCGGCGTTGTGTCAAGAGAAGGGGTTTGTGCGGGTGAGGTTATCATGGCCCCCCCCTTATTTATTTCTTAAGGAAACATGATATTATATAGATAAAATTGTAAGGCCCACGTGACACGCACTTGACGGGCAAAGCCCGGCAAACGCGTGGCTCTTATGTGGGAGCCACACCAGTAGGTCGATGACAGCATCTAGGCCACGTGTCACTTGTTTTATTGAACTTTTTTCTTTCTTTGTTTTTTTGGAGCGGAGGAAAAAAAAAAAAAAAAAGGGAAGAATTTTCGCAGACTTAGTTTGGAAGATGAACGACTGAAAGTAGAAAATTCATATTTTCGTCATCACGACTCTTCCAATTTTTGGTAACAACTAATTTTGTACGGCCTTAATTCTTAATTCGATTTTCAAACTTAAATAAAGATATACAATTATCTTGTTAAATAGAAAGTCACTGTTAAATAAATTTTGAGTAATAGTCATCATTTCGTGAAAATCACCCGGCGGTTAGACATCCCGCTTGTCGCCGGTCACGGATTCGGGATAACCGATGAATAACCTATGTACTAAATTCTTAAAAAATAACATAAAAATTCAGATTTTATGTACTAACATTAAAAATATATATATGTTACAGTGTTTATAACATGATAATTTTAAATAACAATAAATTCTTAAAATAAAAAGATCAATGAAACATATTAGAGACAATGATTCTTAAATCCGTATTGAAACAGGTCTGAACTTTTCATGTCTTATTAGGATCGCAAAGAAAATGTAAAAGAGTTTGTTAACGGTGCATTTATAATTCGTTTTAAAATAATTTTATTTTTTATACAAAAATAAAAACGTTTTTAATTTTAGATAAAAATTATTTTAAAAAATACGTTTGATAGTTTTATCAAAAGATTATTTTCAATATAAAAAATTCATTAAAGTCTCTCTTTCTCTCTCTCTGCTCGAGAGAGAAGAGAAAACGAAAAAAAAATAAAAATAAAAATTATTTTTTATTTATCTCTCATTTTATATTAAATTAAAAAATTATTTTTATTTCTGTTTTTTATCTTTATTGTGTCAAACACCGTTTTGAAAATATTTTTATTTTTTCTTTCTCAAAAAACATAAAAAATAAAAACGAAATCAATTCTAAACACGGTCTAATTATCTCTTTTAAATACTGCGGGGAAAAAAACTTTTTTTTTCCAAGTATCTGCCTAGTTTTGCATAATATTGTAAAATAAGCGTAACAAATAAAATAAATAAGGGTGGGTTACTTTCGGTTATCTCTTTCTAATATTTTTCAGCTAAAATAAGAAAGAGCTTTATCGTCGTTGTCACTGGGAGCAATTGAAGGAGAGAAGAAGATGGGTTCTAATAAGATAAATTTATAAAGAAAGGAAAAAAAAAAACTTTTATCCCGACAAAGCAGATCCCGAAACACAAACCATAGGAAAAAGGACCAAAGGACTTCGCTAAAAGAACAAATAATCAACTTGAGATTCGTTGGAAGCATAACTTCAAATATATAGAAATGGAAGTGCAAAATACAGCTACACATATAAACAAGAAAAAAAAAAGTACAATAAATTGGTTTTGTTATGTACTTCTAGAGTAAAAAAAAAAAAAAAAAAACACATCAATTGGTCTGCTTAATTCCCTTCCAAAAAATTACTCCACTTTCTGCCTCCCCTATTCAAATATTGAGAAGAGCAGAGCCAATGGCAACTAAAGAAAAAAAAAAAAAAAAAGTCTTTTTCACTTCTTTACTTGTTTGCACATTCTTTTCGTTCAAATTGCATATTGGTTTGTTTTTGCCTTGTTCATGTCAAGCTTTGGACCTCCATCAATTGGCTACGGCGAATCAAAGCTGGTGGCTCCACCGTTTTCCGCCTCCTCTGCGTCTCTACCTAGTCGTTTTCTTAGACATGCCTGAGCCTCCAACAAGGATCTTTTCACCTCCTCATTTTCTGGTGTCTCTTGCAGCAAAATCTCGTAGTCTTGTATTGAGGCTTCCCATCTTTCCAACTGCATGCCACACGAATGGTGTTTAAGTTTTGTACAATCATTTGACTATAATATAACAATCATATATGATCTCCTGTCACTAATATTCCATTGCTTTCATCATATCACAAGAAATATTTTCGTTTGGTGGATATCATTGCTTTCATAATATCATAATAAATATTTTCGTCAAACATTAAAAAGTGATTCAAAATATCAAGATCTCACAATAAACAAATATTTCTAGAAGATAATACTTTTTTATAATGAGTTTTTCTTTTTCTTTTTATTTTTAATATTATTGCTCTTAAGAGTAGTTTTATTAATGGGTAATTTAGTAATATTGAAAAGGGTGTATGAAAAATAAAAAAATGGGGTTGATAGACGCACATTTAATTATTAAAAATTAATGCATCAAAAGATTCAAATAATATGTCAGGACTTTTTATTCCACGAATCAAGTGTCATGTCATATTAAGAGTATGTGATAAAGTTATAAAATTAAGAAAACAATTTTCTAATTTACATGATAGCATCTGATCAATGGAAATAATGGATTTATGAGATATAAATGCAAACAAAAGAACTACTGGCAATGTGGCAATTTAACAAGCAAAAGTGAGTGTACCTTGGCATTGCAATCGGCTCTTCTTAGCCTAGCCTTGCTATAAGCTGGGCGAACATTAAGGGCAGCCATGCAGTCCTCAACAGCCTTTTCCAAATGCCCGAGTTTAGACCGACAAGCAGCACGGTTGCACAACAAGACGGAGTTGTAAGGATCTTGCTCAAGTCCCTCCCCATAAGCAATGCAGGCCTCCGAAAATCTCAACGCTCTGAACAGCTCGTTTCCTTTCGACCGAGCTGCTGCCACCGCTCGAGCCTTTCTCATCACCATGCTTGCTTCTTTGTTGTTTGAATCGAGTTGAATTGCTCGTTGAGCTGCTTCCAAAGCATCATCGAATCTGTGAAGCCATTTGACAAAGTAGATGTATCAATGTAGTGCTTTGAACAAGTACAAATAGCAAATAACATCTAATTAGTTGTGTGAAAGTGAAGCTCCACCTGCCAACGGCCATGTCAACAAGAGCCCGGGTCACTAACAAGTTTGCATTACCAATAGGCCCAAGGAATTTAGTACATTCATCAACATCAAAATTTGGACCTCTAGACAGTGTTTTATCTGCCTCTTGGTGCCTGTGGAGCTTCAATAAAGCCTCCGATTGCAAAGCATATATCTTCCAAAATGAAAAAAAAGATTAAATTTAGTACATTAGTAGTGACCATACGACACTAATTCTTAAGTTTGCAGTACGATATGACGTCAATAAAAATTCGCATTGTGATCATTAATCATGAGAATAGGAGTAGAGATTTTTGAGAATAAAGAAAAATGGTTGACCTGTGGGGCTGAATCTGCACCAGTTGATATGGCAGATTCGGTTTCCTTAATCAGAGTGTTCCAATCTCGTAATCTGCGAGCCTCAGTACATTTGTTGAGATGTGTTTGAAGTGATTTGACTTTAGCAAGGTCATATTGGTCTGCCTCTTGCCCTGCATGTTTGTAGTGATATGTCGCCTTTTCTGGTTCTCCTAATCTGTATATTATATATAAATATATTACACAAGTATACAAAAACCAAAACTTCAAAGGGTTTTGGTATTTCCCATTCAAATTCTTTTTTTTTAATTAAAAGAAGTGATAAGTTGCCTTTTAGATTTTAACAAATTATTCATGAATTTAATAAAATGTTAAGATGCCCTTATTTATAAATACTCTAATGCACGTCATGTAAACATTATTTGAAAAGTGAATACTAAAATATCAAACAAAGGCAAAGAAAGTCACCTGTTTTATTGAATTCAAGAAGTAATATAACAAATTAAAGCATAGAAAACAAATCGTCAAATTGCTAAAAATTAAAGTAACAAAGACGCCAAATAATCAACATTAAAAAAAAAAAAAAAAAAAAAAAAACTCAAAGAAAAGAAAAAACAAGAAATATAATGGTACCTGAGATACAAGGTGGCCAAACGATGATGAGCTCTATGATAATGTGGTTCAATCCGAATGGCTTCCCTGCACTCAAAAACCGCCTCAAGAAGCCTCCCAAGAGCCGTCAAAGCCGCACTTTTATTACTCCGATAAGAAGCCTTATTCGGGTCAATAGAAATCGCTGCGTCGTACAAAGCCAACGCCTCCGCAAATCTCCCGTTCTTGTAATCCTCATTCCCCATCATCTTCAACGTCTCTGGGTCCATTCTCGTCGACAACGCTCGGCACAACGACCCAGCACCCGCCGCCCGACTACTCTCTTCTTCACCGCCATTGCCATTATTATTTTCATTATTCATCACGTTTTTCGCGTGTCGGATGTTGTTATACGACGTCGTATTGTTCCCACCGCCGTTGCCGTTTTGTCTCAAGTTTCCCAAGTTACCGAAAAGCATGACGTTGCTCGACGAGGCCCGGACGAGGTTGCTGCTTCCTTTGTTCTTTTGATGGTCGACGATCATGCTCTCGAGCTCTCCCGATATGCCCACCGCTTCCTTAGGGACTCTCCTTCCTTGGTTGACGTAAACCTGATAAGGCGTACTGGCATCCGTTTGAGGTCTTCTGGTGGTGTCGTTTTTGTCGTTCGCGGATTGCGCGGCCGTCCTCGGGATGTTCGATGAAATTCCCCTGAGGGGTTTCGGCTGCGGCGGCGAGGAGCCGAGGAAGGCGACCTCGTCGGAGCTGCCACCGCGACGTCGTTTCGGGTCATGGGCCGTTGTCGTTTTGACGTCGCCGCTCGGCGTTGGGAGATGGACGGTGGATGCTGTCGTTTTCTTCGGCCGCAAACTTCGTCTCCCGAAAACTGCGTTTATCAAGCCACAACCGGTTTTTCTAGTCTCCGGCGAGTTGTCTCCCATTTTCCCGTTTACGTCTTTAGGGTTTTCGTCTTCCGTTTAATCCAGATTTAATGAGAAGTTTATCGTGGAGATCATCCCTGATTTTTCTATCTTTTACTTGTGAACCAATATTACATATTATGGAGAATAAAAAATACATTGAAAGTTTGACAATAAAAAATGAATTATTGACTCTCTAGAAATCAACAAAAACTCGGACATTTGGAAAAGGCTGTTGAGGACTGCACGGCTGCCCTTAATGTTCGCCCAGCTTATAGCAAGGCTAGGCTAAGTAGAGCCGATTGCAATGCCAAGGTACACTCACTTTTGCTTGTTAAATTGCCACATTGCCAGTAGTTCTTTTGTTTGCATTTATATCTCATAAATCCATTCTTTCCATTGATCAGATGCTATCATGTAAATTAGAAATTGTTTTCTTAATTTTATAACTTTATCACATACTCTTAATATGACATGACACTTGATTCGTGAAATAAAAAGTCCTGACATATTATTTGAATCTTTTGATGCATTAATTTTTAATAATTAAATGTGCGTCTATCAACCCCATTTTTTTATTTTTCATACACCCTTTTCAATATTACTAAATTACCCATTAATAAAACTACTCTTAAGAGCAATAATATTAAAAATAAAAAGAAAAAGAAAAACACATTATAAAAAAGTATTATCTTCTAGAAATATTTGTTTATTGTGAGATCTTGATATTTTGAATCACTTTTTAATGTTTGACGAAAATATTTATTATGATATTATGAAAGCAATGATATCCACCAAACGAAAATATTTCTTGTGATATGATGAAAGCAATGGAATATTAGTGACAGGAGATCATATATGATTGTTATATTATAGTCAAATGATTGTACAAAACTTAAACACCATTCGTGTGGCATGCAGTTGGAAAGATGGGAAGCCTCAATACAAGACTACGAGATTTTGCTGCAAGAGACACCAGAAAATGAGGAGGTGAAAAGATCCTTGTTGGAGGCTCAGGCATGTCTAAGAAAACGACTAGGTAGAGACGCGGAGGAGGCGGAAAACGGTGGAGCCACCAGCTTTGATTCGCCGTAGCCAATTGATGGAGGTCCAAAGCTTGACATGAACAAGGCAAAAACAAACCAATATGCAATTTGAACGAAAAGAATGTGCAAACAAGTAAAGAAGTGAAAAGGACTTTTTTTTTTTTTTTTTTAGTTGCCTTTGGCTTTGCTCTTCTCAATATTTGAATAGGGGAGGCAGAAAGTGGAGTAATTTTTTGGAAGGGAATTAAGCAGACCAATTTATGTGTTTTTTTTTTACTCTAGAAGTACATAACACAACCAATTTATTGTACTCTTTTTTTTTCTTGTTTATATGTATAGCTGTAAAGAATGTGCAAACAAGGACTTTTGGAAGGGAATTAAGCAGACCAATTTATGTGTTTTTTTTTTTTTTACTCTAGAAGTACATAACACAACCAATTTATTGTACTTTTTTTTTTTCTTGTTTATATGTGTAGCTGTATTTTGCACTTCCATTTCTATATATTTGAAGTTATGCTTCCAACGAATCTCAAGTTGATTATTTGTTCTTTTAGCGAAGTCCTTTGGTCCTTTTCCCTATGGTTTGTGTTTCGGGATCTGCTTTGTGGGGAATAAAGTTTTTTTTTTTCCTCTCTTCTTTATAAATTTATCTTATTATACCCCATCTTCTTCTCTCCTTCAATTGCTCCCAGTGACAACGACGAAACATAAAGCTCTTTCTTATTTTAGCTGAAAAAGATTAGAAAGAGATAACCGAAAGTAACCCACCCTTTCTATCTACTCATTCAAGTTGGTTGGCTTTTAGAGGTAATGTTTAGTCTAACTTGACCCTTGTGGGGGCAAAGTATCTAATTTATAGCTCCAAATTCCTGGAAGGGAAAATTTTGTTAAAATAACCAAATTGCTTTCAGTTTGGGGAGGAAAAAGAAAATCAGGAGGGAGAAATATTCCTAGACAATCTCATAGGGAAAATGGGACCCAAAGGAGTATTTTTCAAGTTTTTGTATACGTTTCTACTTTATCTGACTCTAGATATTTCAGTTTCTGAAATGCAACTCTTATACTTGGGCTTCCGTGGTCAAATGTTATTCCAGTTCATTGTTTAAAATATCCTCGGCAACTGCTTGCTTGTGTAATGTGGTGTTTATTATGTGAAGTTCTAACTCTGAATTTGATGTTGATATGGCCCGTTTAGTTAGAGGATTCGTTCTCTGATTTGAATCATAATTCATAATTTATTACGGTATTTTTCTCTTACAAAAAACACACATAAATTAAAAATAATTCTAATCTCATGATTCTAATCCATGAACTAGGTTTAATTCTCATACCATTACCCCAACCAATGTTTACTCTGAGCCATGGTGGCGTAATGTCGGGTATAATCCTATTTCTCCACCCTTGACAGTGAGAAATGCATCCAATTCATCTTCCTTAGACTGCCCAAATGGTGCTTCTGAATCCAATGAGGACCAGTCTTTATCTGATGATGGGCCCAGCGAGGAAGATGATGATGCCACTAAAGATTCACATGTTAGTGCCTCTCCACGATCAGGTATTTTATCATTTTTTTCCCAAGTTAATATGGATTTTTTTGAAATACCAACATAGGAAGTTTATTGAAATACCAATATCGGCCACAAACTTCGTCTCCCGAAAACTGCGTTTATCAGGCCACAACCGGTTTTTCTAGTCTCCGGTGAGTTGTCTCCCATTTTCCCGTTTACGTCTTTAGCGGTTTCGCCTCCCGTTTAATCCAATGAAAAGAATCTTAAGCTTATAAGACAGAGATTTGATGAGAAGTTTATCGTCGAGATCATCCCTGGTTCTTCTATCTTTTGCTTGCGAACCAATATTACATATCGTAAGGAATCAAAAGGACATTGAAAGTTTGACAATAAAAAATGAATTGACTCTCTAGATGCAATATATTTTATTTTATTTTATGTTATTTCTATTTGAATTCTCTCCTTGGTAGGAGATCATGACATGATGATATCAGATGGCATGATCATTAAGGGATGTGGAAAAGATTTGCAAGAAAAAAAAATAATACTTGTACAGATTTATTTTATTTTTTGTTTGGGAAAATTCAATACTGGCTTTTCTTTCCTCGTTAATTTCTTCTTTCTGTTTGTGTGTATCTGTGTTTATATTTGTTTGTCTGATGGGTAGTTGGACGCTAGAGACTCGGTCATGGGCGAAATGTGAATCTCTAGGGCTGTTTTTTTTTTTTTTTAGTGTAATTTGAGTGTAGTTTTTGAGTTGAATTTAAGTTATAATTTGAATTGAAGTTGTAACTTGAATAAAATTAAATAAAGTTAGAACTTAAAAGAACATGAACTTAAATAAAGTTGGAACTCGAGTTTTTTTTTTTTTTTTTAATTTTTTGAACAAAAGAACATGCCCTAGATTTTTAGAAATTCCTTAATTCTTAGAGGAGGCCACGTTTTATTTTTGTTTTTATTTTTATTATTTTGTTTATATTATAAATACTAACTAAATACAGACACTTATTTAGATGCTATCTTTATAGGGGTCATATGACACATTAATTCTCTCAAACTACATTTACTAATAAGTTGTTCTTTCCAAACATATTTACAAGAATATGACCCATCCTCTTCAAGACTTCAACCCACGTTCACAATTTCTTTGGCTAAGATCATGTCTAAAAACTCTTGTTCTAATCCCTTTCTTCTTAATCAAAAAATTATGTGTGTACCATTTTTAAAATGATTTCCAAAATTAACTCTTTATATTTCAGATTGGCGTTTATTATAAGGGTTTTTTTTTTCGGTGCATTAACATACCTATTTATTAAATTTTATATTCATTAAATAAAATCACGTAAAAATTAAAAAATACATAAATTTAACGTTTAAAAAAACTTGACATATCGGTAGTAGAAAATCTCTCTTATTATAAAAAAGAAAATTTTTTTTCCTCTGAAAATATGATAAAGTGAAGCACCCTCCGACATTAGGATTTTGTCAACAATGACTAACGAAGCTGCTACTGCCTACTGATCAGTTTTCAAATGCTTGTCTCATCAATCATCACAAATGACGAAGTTGTGGTTTGGCGTTGATTTTTATTTTATTTTATTTATTTATTTTTAGGGAGAGACATATTTGATGTGAGGCCATTCGATTCGATGGACAAACTAACCCAAGTACCTGTGTTTGCTTACTGTTATTTTTAATAAATAAAAAAGTTTATTATCACTGGAATTTTAGGGTTATTTTTAACTTGTCTTTTGAATTTTAAAAATTCTTATTTTGTCTCTTAAATTTTAAATTATTTTCACTTAATTATTTTTATTATAATTTATGTTAAAAACCCTTTTATTGTAATTTATGTTAAAAACTGATAGAAAAAAAGAGAGTAATACAATCGCGTAATATTTCTATTTAAATTTTTATTAGAAACAAACATATAAAAATCACATGACAACACTTAATTTTCTTTTCTTCAGTCTGATTTTAACATAAATTACAGATTAAGTGAGAATAATTCAAAATTTATGGGACAAAGTGAGAGTTTTAAAAATTTAATGGACAGATTAAGAATGATTCTAAAATTCAAAGTCACGAGTGATAATAATCCAATAAAAAAAAATATCTTTTTATGTATAGATTGGAGGTTGCAAGAAAAGTACGGCCTTCATAAATACTAGTTGCATGCCTAACTTAGCTATATATAACCTTTTTTTTTTGAGAAAAAAAAAATCGCTCTTATTCCCACAGTTTTATTCTTTGAGGAAATAGAAGCATCAAAATTAAGCTTATATCATACTTTACAATAAGTAAAAGGGTGTAAAAATGACTCTTGATTAAACGTGTTTGTTTGGGAAGTTTGTGATAACACTTGTTAAAAGATAAAAATTGCATTTGAATAAGAGTTTGTGTTAGGCATTAAAATATCACGTGCCCTTTTTTTCCTTTATTTCTTTTTCTTATATTGTACTCTTAT